CCGGGATGGGGCTGTAGCTACAGGGGTGCTCCGGTGGCTTCGCCGCGGTTTGTAACGGGTGTGTGTGGGGGTCGTGCTCGCGGGGAGAGCAGTCGCCGCAGGACTTGTGGGGTCCCAGTGGCCGCAGTTCCTGGGAGCCGCGTCTTTGAACGCCGTAAGGCGGAACGGAGCGGTGGGGCGGGAGTGGTCCCGGGCCGCGAGGTCGGGCTCGTGACTGGAGGACCACCTCATCTTCCCCAGGGCCTGGAAGTTAAAACCCGGGTTAGTGTTTTGTTCTTTGTTTTCTCCGTGGGCGGGACTGATGTGCAGAAGCCGCCCCTGCCCGAAAAGTTTCCCAGTGTTGGTGGGCAAGGGCCGTTGTTTAGGGAGATACGGTTTCTCTCTCGCTCTTATTTATTTTCTTAAAGGTGTCTGCCGTGGAGCGCGTGCTCTCGCAGGCCAGAGAAGAGAGGGGAAGTGAGAAAATCACCCCCCTGGGGGATGATCACGCCACAGGACCTTCTCCTCCATTCTCCTCTCGGGATTTTGGGAGCCAGGCGCACGCACGTGCTAGGCGTGATTTTTAAGCCGTTGGCTCGAGACTCAGGCCATGGTAGGCCATTGCCTCAGCCACCACACCATCTGCTGGTTCCGACGTGGTTTCTCTTATTGAGGGCTTTTATGATGCTCTTCTCTTTCCTCTGCAGCCTTCATCCCACGTGAATTTCTTGACCTCCTGGGATCTCTGCTTGCTACAGAGGCCATGGAAACCTCAACGCCTTTGTCTCCTCTACCACCTTCTCAGATCTGCAACCCAGCCCCACGGACCATTCAGATCGAGTTTCCTCAGCATAGCTCATCCCTGCTGGAGACCCTGAACCGCCACAGGCTAGAGGGCAAGTTCTGTGATGTGTCCCTCCTGGTACAGGGCCGGGAACTTAGAGCCCATAAAGCTGTGCTGGCTGCTGCTTCTCCTTATTTCCATGACAAGCTGCTTCTGGGGGATGCGCCACGTCTCACCCTGCCAAGCGTCATTGAGGCTGATGCCTTCGAGGGGTTACTCCAGCTCATTTATTCAGGGCACCTCCGCCTACCACTGGATGCTCTCCCGGCCCATCTCCTGGTGGCCAGTGGCCTTCAGATGTGGCAGGTGGTAGATCAGTGCTCAGAGATCCTTAGAGAACTAGAAACTTCAGGTGGTGGAATTTCAGCCCGCGGAGCAGCCTCGTACCACTCGCTTCCTTCTACTATATCTTCTCCAGGAGGCTGGTGCATTCGCTCTTCTCCTTTCCAGACCCCAGTACAGTCCTCCACTTCTACTGAGAGCCCGGTTGGAGGGGAGGGGAGTGAACTGGGAGAGGTGTTACAGATTCAGGTGGAAGAAGAAGAGGAGGAGGAGGAGGATGAAGAAGATGAGGACCAGGGATCAGCAGCACTGCCTCAGACTCCTCAGCCTCAGAGAGTATCAGGGGTGTTTCCCCGTCCGCATGGATCCCACCCACTGCCCATATCTGCTACACCCCGCAGGCCTCCAGAAGGTGAGAGTGCACCACTTGAACTTCCTGCCCCTCCTGCACTGCCCCCCAAAATCTTCTATATTAAGCAGGAACCTTTTGAGCCTAAGGAGGAAATAGGAGGTGGAACTCAGTCTGGATGCGTAAAGGAGGAGACCAAAGTGTTTCCTGGAGGGGACACGGAAGGGAATGGGGAACTAGGGTTCTTGTTGCCCTCAGGAGCAGGGACGACATCTGGGGGAGGGGGCCCATCTTGGAAACCAGTGGATCTTCATGGAAATGAAATCTTGTCAGGGGGTGGAGGTCCTGGGGGAGCTGGGCAGGCTGTTCATGGGCCTGTGAAGCTAGGGGGAGCACCCCCTGCAGATGGGAAACGCTTTGGTTGCTTGTGTGGGAAGCGGTTTGCAGTGAAGCCGAAGCGTGACCGGCACATCATGCTGACCTTCAGCCTTCGGCCTTTTGGCTGTGGCATCTGCAACAAGCGCTTCAAGCTGAAACACCATCTGACCGAGCACATGAAGACTCACGCTGGAGCCCTCCACACCTGTCCTCACTGTGGCCGGCGATTCCGAGTTCATGCCTGTTTTCTTCGCCACCGAGACCTGTGCAAGGGTCAAGGCTGGGCCACTGCGCATTGGACTTACAAGTGACTACAGAGGCCATACACTGTTTCTAGGACAAGATAACCACTGTGGCTGATGGATACTTACCCCTCACTACCACGGCACCCCAGTCCTGCACCTGGTATTCATGCCAAGACAATAGGTATATTGTGGTTCTCATGTTCTTGCCTCATACTGGCAGGCTTAGAAACTCAGATTTCTCATCTCATGCTGGGTGTTTGGTCACCACTCTTGGAAAAGTGGTTTATAGGCCATACTGAAACTGACCATGTGCCTATAATAGACTTTCTTTTTGTAGTGGTGGTAGCACCACCGAGGAAGCCAGATTCCAGATTTAAAGGTTATTTGCTGAGTGAAGAGTTAGAGCAAAAAAAGAGTAATGCTATGTTTTTTTGTTTGTTTGCCTTTTTTTTTTTTTTTTTTTTTTTTTTTTAAGGGAGTTTTGTTTTAATTTAGAGAGATTTGTGCTATAGGGTGCATGCACTCCCCAGAGACAGAAAGCAAGAAATCACCCCCAGAGGGGATGGCCATGTCACAGTCCCTTCTTCATTCTCCTCTCAGGATTTTATGCACATGCAGTCGGCATGAATTTTAAGCTGCTGGGTTCAGGATTTGAAACTCAGTTGATTGTGCGGGAATCCAGCGACATAACCATTGTACTGTCTGCTGGTCCCCAAGATAAATGTTTTGTTAACAGTCTCCATGAGGAGTAAAGGAGCTGGTCTCCAAGTAGGGATACATTTGGTTCCGAACTCTAAGCTTTCCTCACCCCATCATTGCTGGAATGATGTGAAATAGAGTTGGATTTTTCCTGTACTTTTTTGTTAGGTCTTTCCAGAAGTCCCTCATGTTGTACCTTGCTTTTTCACCGGGAGACACCATTTTTTTCTTAAATGTTGTAGTTGAGCACTTTAAATAAATGGAACATTCCATGTGTACTTTCTAGTACCCTCTTTACTAGACAGTATTCCAACAACTTGTGCTTCTTGTCTACCTTCGGTCACCACTGATAACTTTACCAGAGTAACTGGAATGTGATCAGTGATCTCAGGAGATGACCACTGACCTAACATTCTCTCAGGGTAGAACTGCTGTTCTCTGAACGTTGGCCATGGTCAGAGGGTCTCAGGGCAGAGATGGCACATGCTGAAGGCTAGAGAGTAACTGCACAGCGGGACCACACCACCTCCTCCTCCATCTCACCCACGAGAAGCAGCTCCCTCTCTGTTGGGAGGTGGAGGGATAGATACTGAATGGGAAGGGTGCGGAGGGAGATTTACAGTAACTTAATTTCTTTGAATAAATTTTGCCCTGAAATCTAAGCTGACAATAGACTGGATTGAGTAATTGTGTGGGAAAGACTACCTGAGAACAGAGCTGCAGACGTGGGTGTGTTCCTTATATGGCTAAG